CCTGTGAGAGCCGGCTGTAAGGCAGGGCCTGGGCGCGGTCTCAGTTTCCTCATCTGGAAAATGGGCATCAGAGCACCTAGGAGGACATGGGCTTTGGAGGGCGGGAAGGAAGAGGAAGGAGAGCCGTCTAGAGCAGAGAACAGCAAAGGTTCAGAGGGCTGAGTGGATGGCGACTGCTTTCAGGTGTGCAGATGGCCGGGCTCTGTCACTGTCACCAGCAGTGTGACCCGGAACAGATTGTGCCTCAATTCCTCATCTGTGTAGTGAGGATTACATCAACAACAGCACCCACCTCCTAGGGTTAAGCGAGACAATGTTTGTAAAATTTTAGACAGCAGTGGGGAAACTTTTCATGTTGGAAGTCCACATTAATTTAGCTATAATCAAATACAGCCGCATCCAAGAAACTTCAATTAGATATACTTAAAAATGTACATTATTTTGTAAAAATCTAACTACTGTGTACTTAATAATTTCAAAGAATGAAAACTATTTGTTAATTTTAAAGTTAATGACCTTTTAATGACTTTGTTCTGTTTCTTGTTGGAAAACTTTTGAATATTTGGTTGCAGTAGCAGGGAGGTCTGCAGTTTTCAGCTGATCCTTTAGATGGGTATCAGTCATTTGTGACCTTAAGGGTGTCTTGATTTGGCTTAGATAGGAGAATGTAGGTTCATAGCAATACGTGGTTGAATAGTAAGAAAGCATTTTTTGGGCATGTTGCCGAAGGAGTGGATATTCTACCGCATTTTTCCATATTTCAATTCAATCGTTCCTAGCATCAAAAAATGACTTTAAAATGTCATCTACTGAGAGTTCAATCAATTCCATCTATAGTTCTTTAGGTACCTTGGTGATATCAACTAGATGGTCTGAAATGTTAATTTGAGTGTAATGTCATGATTCCCAAAATGAGTGAAACTTTCATTGTATTCTCCAATTACTAGGTCTATATAACAGCTGTGTATTCTTCACACGATTTGCATGTATCATCCTGCTCGTCAATAACCTTTGCTAACTGGGGAAATGTTCACCTGAAATTTCCTTTTGAAGAAGTGTTTTCGAAAAGAGGTAGCTTTTTAAGAAATGCTTGGATTTTTTTTGCCACATATCATGTAAAGACTTACCTTGCAAAGAAGTATTCAAGTTGTTTTGTTTCAACATGATATCACACAGAAATGATGCATTCCAATAGAAATCTTTCAATAATTCACATTGCTGTTCTTCATAAAATTTATCTGTTCTCACAGAGATAAAATTTTGCCTAACCCCTGTCCCTGCAAGAGCCAATACACTTTAGAATGATATGGCAAATCCACACTGAATACCTCATAATTCAACTTTAGCATGTTACAAAACTGAGGATGCTGTGTTGCATTTGCTGGAATATAGTTAACAATACTTACATTAATAACTTGTTGCAAAGTATCATTTAATTTTTTTCTATTTTCTTTTTTTATTAAATTTAAAATTAATTAATTCATATTTCATTTTTTCTTTTCTTTGTTTTAGAACGAAGTGAATAAGGTGTAACTTAAAATGGTATCTTTAGCATAGAGTTTTCGCTGATGCAAAATACAATGAAAAGAAATGAGAGAGAGCATCTGGATCCAATACTTTTTTTTTAAATCTGTGTAATAAACTCTTCATGTTTTCCTGTCATGGAAGGTGCACCATCTGTACATACACTCACTAAATTTACCAAATTCAGTCCAACTTCATGACATTTATCTTGAAAGTTGTTGAAGTGATCTATTCCCTGTGCTCTATTTACAAGAGTGCCCAAAGTGAGTAACTCTTCCTACCAAAGAAAATCTTCTGTTATAACCCGAATGAAGTATAAAACTTGTGCCACATCAGTAGTATCATTTGATGCATCCAAAAAGATTGAATAATATATAGTTTCCTTTTGAAGTATTGCATGAAGTTGTTCTGTTAAGTTGAAGGCTAATTCATGCTGCCGATCAGTTATGGTTCTCTTTGAAGGAGGCAGTTGTTTGTACTTTGAAACATTATCCAGGTCTGAGCATCCTACGACTTTGACAAAGCATTCTTTCACAATTTCTACATCACTGAATTGCTTCCCTTTTTCCTCCAAGTATATAAGCTACTTTATACGTTGCTTCAGCGGCATTATCTTCAAGTCTTATTGATGCTTAAAAGAATTATCTTTGCTTTTGCTTTTCATCTTTTAATTTCTACAATACAACCTTTCATACCTTTCCCTCTAATTTAAAATATTTGTGGTCCTTACGAGTGTTATGATGCTGATGAACATTGAATTTCTTTAATGTTGATATTGCAGTGTCACAAAGCAAGCAAATCATTCTTATCTTTAGCAGAAACAAGATAATATTGCAATTCCCAATCCTCGTTAAAAAATCTGTTTTCTTCCTTCAGTGTTCTCTTGGCCTTCTTTGACATGATGGGCTGTTAAGCAGACAGAATTAAAAATACTGTCAAGCTGTGCAACTATTCACAAATTCCACTTTAAACAGAAACACAGTGCACCGTTGTCAAAAGCTGATGACAGACTGGTGTACTCGACCCCCATAAACTCTCACCAACCAGCCTCGTGGGGTAGTGGCTCCAGTCAGGTGGGGGAAGTCAGAACTAAGTCATGAGTGTAGCAGCTGTCAATTTAGCCCTTTTGGCTTGTTAATATTCTAATTGTGCCAGTCAGTCTGGATGTTTCACTGAAACTTATTTTATTCTTTGGTATTTTTAAATATGTTCATTTAAAAAATAAAATAAAATTATAAAAGACAAACAAAATACATTAATAAAGATAAAAGGATTTGTTCTGTAAAATTTGGATTCAGTCAAAAGGCTACACTTAAGGACCTAGAAGACCACATGTGGCCTTAAGGCCGCAGGTTCCCCACCTGTTCTAGACTATTGCCTGACACATAGTAAGTGTAGCAGGAGAGGTTTATTTATTATTTGTCTGTCTATTTAATAACATGATCTTTTTCGCTCTCTGTTTTCATTCCCTTGAGCAACACAAGATGGCGTTGCCTCAAGCTTGAGACTCTTGGACGCTTAGTCCGAGGCCGAGGCCTTCAGAAAGGGAGGACTGGTCTCCTCACACAGATGCTGTTGGTGTCTGCAAGGCCTGCCCCGAATTCTTCCCAGGGCTGTGGGGGAGTTTTCCCGTTCCTCTGGGGCAGAGAGGGGCACGGGGCGGGGTGGACTCGGCTCCAGGGCTCAAAGTCCTGCCTCCCTCTCAGCTTCCCAGCTCCCTGCATCCAGGGCCACGGCCTGGTGGGGAAGGGGTTCCAGTAGGAGGCCATGCTCGCCTGGGCCAGGACGCAGAGACCCCTTGAGTCCTCGACTCTGGGGCAGCCTGAGAAGAAGGGGGTGCGGTGGTGGGGAGGGGGCATGTGTGACCAAGGATTGCAGTTCCAAGTGAGAAATAAGCAGGAGCAGATGGAGCCCAGAGCACACAGTTCCTGTTTTCACGCAAATGTCTGGGACAATAAAAGTCAGGGGGGAAGCTGGGGGTGGGGTTGGAGGGGAACATAGACACAGGGTGGGGGTGTAGGAAGAAGATGCCACATCAGCAGAATTAGCTCTTATTAAAATAGTTTCCATTGAATTGGTTGGGGATGGGGGTGGACTTTCCAGCCCCCTGCCCAGGGCGCTTGGCTGGCCTGCTAGGGCCTGGCCCAGCCTGTGAAGGGCGGGGAGGGGTCTGGGCCTGTGCCTGCTGGGGACGTCCAGACAGCAAGTGCTCCTTGGAGCTGATTGCATTTCCTGGCCTTTGATGCCCAAGATCAAAGCAAGGCCAGGCCCTCCCAGCCTCCAGGCCTCTTGGCAGCCTCCCTGCCTGCAGGGTCCAGGCTGTGTGGTCCTGGTGGCTGGAGAGGGCAAGACAGCCTGACATTCCTGGTAGGCCCAAAGTGAGCTAGAGGGGCCAGGACAAGGGCCCTTTCCAGCGCAGGCTTACCAGGGCTGCAGGGGTGAGTATAGCCCATATCTGCTGCCCAAGCATGTCTGTGCTCAGCATGCTGGCTCTGTGTCCTCAGACTCATATAGACATTGGACATTGAGGTCACTAATGGTCACAATTAGGTCAATAATGCCCAGATCATGAGGATTTGGGAGCTGGGCCCCATGTGGCCCAAATTAACTCCAAGAACCATGCCTCAGAGCCTATAGCCTGTAGAGATGGCTGGGGGTCCATCTTGCTGTAGCAAGAAAGAGCTATAACATTGGCCATGAAAACTGGCCTTTCACAGGGTCCTGGCTGTAAGAGCTTTGGGGGGGGGGATGTTGGAGGAGGGTCCACTACACACACCTTCCTCCCAAGGACCCCCTAACTCACCTTGCTGACCAGCAGGGCTCCATCTGGGGCATCTTCTAGTCCCCTGCTCTGGTTTCCCCCTGTCCTGGGCCCCCTCAAGAAACTAGCCCTGGGGCCACTCTATGATGAGAAGACAGCCTCTTGGGGTCCTGCTCTGAGTGTCCAGGGATGCAGATGAGCCCTTTGATTGCCTTCAGGGATTTGTAAGAGTTGGCCCCACACTCTCCCAGGCAGCTTTCTTGGGCATCTTTGCCTACGATTCCCAGGGAGGGCTTCAAGCTCAGGGAAAGCCGCTTCTTGCCTGACTCCCTCCACCCAGCTGTCCACCAGCTAATGCTAACTCAGTTTCCCTTTGATGTGAAGTATGCAAGGGGATGCCAGGCAGAGGCAGGCCTGGGTAGGAGCTGGGCAGTGTGGAGGCCGTGTAAGGAAGGCCTGGGAGGCCAAGGCCTCTGCAGTCACATATCTGTAGTCCTTGGGGCTGGAGTCCTCCTGGCACTGTGGTGTCAGTGTTCCTGCTGGCCTGCGTGCTGCAGGGGGTCCTGGCCCCTCTAACGCCTGTCCATGTGGAGAGGATTAGGGCCTGGAAAGATACATTTTCCCTCTTCGGTCTTGGAAAGAGGATCAAGTGGACCTGGTGACAACCCAGAGATTCTGGGCGTGTGGACAGCGCCGCTTCCCGTCCACGTCCCAGGCAGCCCGAGAGACGCACGCCATCCGTAGCACCCCTGTCCTCAAGCCCCCGGCCTACCTGGAAAAGGAGACGCCAGCAGGGTCTGCCTTTCTATTCCTGGAGCCCCTGCCTGGGACAAGGGCTGGGGGGAAGTGGGCTGCGGACTTCGTGGAAATGAGGCAGCGACTGGTGATTGATGTGTACTGGGTTATCTGGAATGGGCACTGTTAGCCCAGATCACTGGTTGTTCTCTTATTCTTAGCAAGGAATTAAATTGTGGCTTCCTTGGATAGGAGCCCTAATCTCACCCCCACAAAGTTCCGATATCCTGGGCTTGTTTTTTGGCCAGTCCGTGCCACTGATTTCTTGGGACATCTGTTGGCCCTTGCAGAGTATGGGGTTGGGCACGGGGACGGAAATAACTGTTCTGGTCTGAGCCATGGCCCTGTGAGCAGGGCCAGCAGTGAAGTGGGTGAGAGCGTGGTTTAGGGGGCTAGGAAATGTCCAGGGCTCAGGGATCAAGCAGAATTAGGATGGGGGCAGGGATTTCTAATGTAGGAATGTATGCGAGGCCAGCCCCCTCCCCACCCCAGACCTTCTGCTCCCCTGCTCTGTGTGACATACGTGAGTTTGTTCAGGTGCACATGCAAGAATGAAATGAAAAGTATTTGACATTGGGCTGGCATGGACACCAGCATAAGCAAGCACAGGTCACCCTTTGGTGCCTTTTGTCCCTTCCTATCTCCCCCACACCCCCCACTTCTCTGCTCTTCTCTTTTCTCTTGCATCTTCCCTCATCCTTCCCTCCCTTCCTTCCTCTCCCTCTTGGGTATCTCAGGTAGGACGGGACCAATGCTGTGTCTCTGTTTCCCCTCTACTGCCATGCCTGCTGATCAGGCTAGAAACCACCAGGCTTGGGTCCTCGAGCTCTCGGGAAGGTTGTGTCTTCTCCCTCTCCTCTGAGTCCTCGCTGTAGCTGGGTGTGGTGGGCTGGGCACTGGTGGGAGGAAGGAATGGACACAATTGGCCATTGGCCAACAGTAATTTGGAGAAACAGGGGTTTGGAGGACTCTGAACTTGGTTTGTATGTTGTTCCTCCATTAGGAACCCTCTCTGGAAGTGAAGTGACTCAGTGTGACCAAATCCACTCTGCCACCCACCCAACAGGATCCTATTCCCAAGACATGTAAGCCAGGGGTCCTGTCCACAGGGTTGCTCAGTGGCAGAATGGGGCAGCCAGAAGGTGCTGAGACCTGACCCATGACAAGGCATGATCCATGACAAGAGCTCGTGACTGGCAGATTCAGCTGAGCCTTGCTGAGATGCTCTGTGTGTCTGAGTATGTCCACACGTGCATGGTTTCCTGTTTGCATATGAGTCCGCCTGTGCAGGCAATCATGCACATGTACACATGCGTGCGCATGAGTCCATGTGGGGAAAACGTGCACAAGTGCATACACGTGTGTGTACATGTATGCACGTGAGTCCATGCGGGGATCACGTGCCTCTGTGTGCGGGCTCACAAATGGAAGGCTTGGCTGGGAAACCCAAATCTCCCCCTCCCAGGCCTCAACCTCTGTTCCCTGGGGCACTGATGGAGGAGAACAGAGAGTCCCCAAATCCCACTATCTGGGACGTGGCTTCTGTTGGATCCCACTCCCCCCCCTTTTCTTTCTTGACACAAATAGCCCGTGGAACAAAGGGAACTGGGGATTTGGATTATTTATACAGTCAACATTAAGCAAGTTGTGGTCTATTTAAATTCTTCTTTATTAGGCCGGGAAATTCCATGGCAAACACTCAGACAGTAAGGAAACCTCCAAGACAGCAGCTCCCAGCTCCTGCGGCTGCCATTCGGTTCCCCCATCTCCTCTCCCCTGCTCCTGACCCTCTGACCCCTGCTTCTTCCATCTGAGCTCCCAACATTTGCCAAGCCCCCTTTCCATACCACCTGCCCTCCGGATTCCCTCTGTCCCTCCCACCCACTGGCCCAAATTTCCTTTCTTCAACCTCTTCCCCTCCACCTCCATTTCTCAAAGCTCCACCAAGACCCCTGCCTCACACCTTGCTTCTCGTCTGACTCGAGAGGGCAGCGGGACAGCGAGCCTCGCACTGCACGTGGACTCTGTGGGCACAGCACAGGGGGCACGAGGAAGGAAGGCCGAGCTCGTGAAAACATTGGCCAGGAGCAGGTCATGGCCATCTGAGTGTGATTAACCAATGTGCCTGGGAGGCTCCCTGAGGGCGACTCTGTTAGACACTCTGAGTGGGGAAAGGAAGGGTCCTGCCAATGGGTGGAGCCGCTGGGGTGCTCCAAGACACCTGCAAATCCGATCCAGTGGCCACCTGAGACAAACTGAAAGATTGATGCTTATGCTTAAGATGAGGACCTCTGCTGTCACCTGGGCTGATGCTTGGGGCCCCATGATCTGGGGCTGCAGCAGGGGACCTGCCTGGGCCAGAGTGAAGGACGTGCAAAGCCTTAGACCCCAGGGCAGGGTGGGGGCGAGGGGCAAGTGGGGCAGTTGAGTAGGAGGTCCCTGGGGCAGTCAGGGGGCAGGGAAGGGGCAAGCTTCCTGGGACAGGATCTGCAGTAGCCTGGGCCTGAGGCAGCTGCAGCCACATTAGCCATGTTCTTTGAGGTTTTTGCTATAAGGCCTCAGAGCCAGACCTGGAACTCAAGGCTAGAAGATTCAGTGAAGCTGATTCTGGCCCACATAGGGCAGGGAATCTCTTCTGCTCCATAAAGCTATCAGAAAGTGGCTTCTGGATACCTTCACAGGTGGGTGTTTGTACCACTGACGTGCTCCGGCAGAAGCTGGGCTTGACTGGAGGGACTCCTGGCGTGGGTGCTACTGGGCAAAGTGGTCCTTCAAATCGCTCGCTGCACAGCCGGGCAGGGCCTGGGGCAGAGGAGGGGCTGAGCGAGGGGAAGCTCAGTGGTGCCAGGTGCCTTCAGAGGGGATACCCTCTGGGCTGGGGGTCTCCAGGGTCTGGTCTCTTCTCCCTAGGAGAGGACTCTCTATCCTCTGTCTCTGGGATGGGCCACACCATCTATTTAGCCCTGGGGGCCTGCCCAGGGGCAGACATGGCAGAAGGAAAGCTTGGAGAAAAGGGAGGGGAAGTGTGGAATGAGAACCAGCAGAGTGCAACGTGGTCCCCCTCCAAGCCCTCAGGCCCTGGGCACTTCGGTCACTGTGCTCACCTAGACTGTGAGCCTGAGGACAGAGAACACAAAGGGTTCCCCTTGGAGCTCAGTGCCCGGCAAGCAGGAACAGCGGAAGCTTGAGCAATGCTCGAGGAGCTGCCGCACTTAGGGCTGCTGGCCTTCCTCCCCATAACCTCCACTGCTCCCCACATGTAGACGCTGGCCTTGGTTTTAATGAAGACACAGTCTCTGTGACTGGGTGGGGACAGACCTGGAAAGCCAGAGGGGATGCTGTCTGCCTTGGGAGCCTTCCTGAAGCCCCTCCTTGGCTTTGTGCTGCTCTGTTCTTGCCTGGTGGCCAGGACATGTGTGCCAAGGTCTGGGTCCCTATCACTCACACTGAAGGGGACATGTCTGAGAGGCTGACCAGATTCTGCTTGGTGGGCAGTGGCCAGCTGAGTCCTGAGTTGCCCCAGGCCAGTTGGGGGACACTGGCCCCAGCCCACCAGACATCTGCCCCAGCCCCAGAGATAAAAGACTGAGGCTGTGTCTTCAAGGAGGAGCGAGGGCGTGTGGGGTGACCCAGGGGACTGGGCTGAGAAGCGAGTGGCAAAGGCCGGCTGGCTCCGACCTGTGGTAGGAAGTCACAACCACGTACGTGCCTTTCCCGGGAAGGAGCCTGTGCCGGGGTGGCGAAGCCCTTTTGGAGAGGGAGCCCACTGAGTGCTGACAGGCTCGTCTCAGAACTCTCCTGCTGGCAGGCTGTGCTGGGGTGAAAGGGGACAGGCCCCAAGGGTTTTGGGAGGGCCGTCACCTGAGAAGGGGACTCTGGAGGTAAAGGTCATCACACCTGCCAGCATTATTGAGGAATAGCGCATCCACCCCCTCCAGGCAGGCAGGCAGGCAAGCAGGGGGAGAGAAACTGCCCATCCACATTGCAATGTGACAATCTTTGTCTCCAAACAGCAGCACAGCCTAGAGGGGAGAGGGCCAGAGAGCTCGCTGCCCATTATCACCTCGGTGCCGGCCCTGCCCTCGGGGCCTGTCCCTGCTGCCACCTCTGGGCCTGTGTTTCTGATTAGCAGCTGCAGCTGTGCAGCATTAGTTGCATTTTTCCAAGATGAATCTTGGTTGTGACTTCCTGCCACGGGTCTGAACCAGCTGCCTGCCTTTGCAGCCTGCTTCTCATCCTAATCTCCCCGGCTACCCCAAATGCCCTTAGTCCCAGGGGGCTCCTCCTTGAGGGCACAGTCTCAAGGCTTTGTCTCTGGGGCTGGAGCAGATGTCCCATAGCTTGCCTGGGGTGGCTCAAGGCTCCACCACCACCGCGCACGGAGCAGAATCCGTTCAGTTCTCAGATGTGTCCCCTTCAGTGTGAGTGATAGGGACCCAGCCCCTGGCACATGTGCCACTGGCCACTGGGCAAGGGGGCAAGGGCAGAGCAGCCCAAGGCTGGGAGAGGCTCATGGAGGGCTCCCGAGGCAGAGAGCATCACCTTCTGGGATTCCAGGGTCTGTCCTCCACCCAGTTATGGTCTCGGTTCTAATGAAGCCACAGTCTCCAACTGAAGATGCGCCTGCCTCCTTCTCTCTTTGGTTTTCCAGTGCTCTTCAGGTCCATGGAGACGCCAGCTCAATAGACTCAGCATTCACCTGAGAGGTAGTGAGCTCCCTGTCCTGCAGGTCGGTAAGTGTGAGTGGCCACTACATTCATAGTGGCCTTTAGATCTTACATGATCCTGACCATGTTCTTGTGAGCAGGTACAGCAAAGGCAATACTGACAATTTTTGGAGGAGGAAACTGAAGTTGGAGGCTGGGCTAGAACCCAGAAATGAGGCCCACTTAGTCCACTGGGAGTTTGATTCAATATGCCTCCTCTCTGAACCCAACCAGACCCCAAGAGATACAACCCCAGACCCTAGCCTGGCAGCTGGTACATGCTCTTCTCTCTCTGCCTCCCAGCTTCCTGGCTAACACCCTCCTCCCCAAACAATCTGACAGCTCTGTCCCTGAGAGACCTGATTCTGTCCCCTCCTTGTCCCAGCAAGCTGCCCTCAGCCATAGCCTTTGATCTGTGCCAGGG